CTTCATCTTATGTAACCGCCTTCGTATTTCAGACAGCTTATGCATGAAATTCGCTTGTATTTATATTTTGAACATGTCTAGTTTTGACATATATCTGCTGGAGTACTCTGTATTGATAACTGTTAACGTGATGATAGCCGCCATCATGAAACGCCTAATCTGCAGTACAGTAGCATATGTCTTCTGACTGGTTAAACAAATGAAAACAAAGAAGAAATCATGTCAATAGAGCCCAAAATGGAAGATTTAAAAATACCTGTCAATAGTGCCAAAAATGGCACTGCTGACAGGACGATCCTGTCAACAGTGTCAAAAATGGCACTGCTGACAGTACGATCCTGTCACCAATGCAGTATTTCCTGTTATTGACAGGATCGTCCTGTCAGCAGTGCAAATTATTCTACTATTGACAGGACGATCCTGTCAGCAGTGCAATATTTTCTGCTATTGACAGGACGATCCTGTCAGCAGTGCAATATTTTCTGCTATTGACAGGACGATCCTGTCAGCAGTGCAATATTTTCTGCTATTGACAGGACGGTCCTGTCAGCAGTACAATATTTTCTGCTATTGACAGGACGATCCTGTCAATAGCCACAGGCTTCTAGTTTTTTTTTCTAGGAACAGGCCAGAATCAATGCGCGCGAGGACGTCATCCATAAAATTTACTTGGTGTGGCCTTAGGCTGTCAAATTAGGGGAAAATCTTTGGTCCTAAGAATGAGCTTTAGAGCTATAAACTATCGTAAGATGGTCATCATTGTTGTTTTTAGCATTGGCCCGCATATTCACCACGCGTGAGGACGTGTGCTGGAGGCGATAAAAGCCCCACACACGCCATGACCGAAATTTCCAACACATACCCGAACACGCCAGGTTTGACGGAACGTGTACTGGTGTTGGTTTGGCAAATTCGTTGCGCCCTCTAGCGCCAATTTTAAGTACTGCAGTATGGTTACTAAAATAAAGTTCTGTTGTTATTGGTGTGGTGTTTGAACGTCTGAAATTACCTTTTGGACAGCAGCAAGGGTGTGCAACTTGCAGAACTAACCAGGCATCTTAAATCATGTCTTAGTTACTCTAACACTCGAACGCTCAAAATTTGAGCGTAGACCCTACCAATGGAGCAGCAGGAAGCAATTTGACACCTCTGCCTTGATTGGTTACAAACCCCCAAGCTGGGTCAGTTTTGACCCCATACGGTGAGGTTCGTAAGAATTTCAAGGGCTTCAGTGTAGATGACTTTTTTCGAAAAATCATCATAAAACTAGGAGGTAAACTGTTTACCTGGAAGGCAGTTCTACATGCACTTACACAAACTATTAGGTCACTGTAAACCGTTTACTGTGCTAGGACTATAGATGCGGCACAGAAATTAAAGTGGCCTTTTATTTTTCTCTTAATACAGGTTCCACTCTAATGCTTGGATCGAGCTCAGAGAGCGTGAAATCACCAACGCTGTTTGGTAAGAATAAAGAATTAATTCAGCATTCACTAGTATTGCATGTAATCTAAAAAGTATAAAGGAAATAAAGATCCTAGACACAAGGAAAACAACACAAAATATTAAAAAAGCTAATTTCCGTTTCAGCCACAGGATTTAAAGGGAGTCGGGAGAAATATCAGAACAACAAATCGTCAAGATGAAGAAAGGCTCACAAAGATATGATGATAACAGTAGCGGTACTGAAGCATCAGAGGCATCCTCAAATGGATACGCTGATATCATGCAGGCAGAACCATTTTCTAATGAAGAGGAAGAAGAGGAACACGTAGATGAGAGTGAGGGTGAGGTATACTCGGATACTGAAGACCGAGAGTCTATTTCAACCCAGAAAGAAGGTGAAGAACCAGATGAGGAAAATCTTAATGTCCCAAAGGAAGTCAAAGATTTTGTAGGTTCGTCTATAAATGATGCACTGTCACAGTTTAAGTTAGACCTAAAACAGACTATGGATGACGCAGTAACGTCCATGGCCGCACCAATCCAAAGGTTGATTGATTATTCATCGACCAGTGCAAAAACAGAGATGGTCAAAGGAATATGCAGAAAAGAAATAGAAACAGCACTGCCAGATATATATTCCCATGTGGTTAAGATGCAGAAGACTGATGAGTCAAAGAAGCACGTGTCAGGTACTCCAAGTGAGTCCAAAAACAGTTCAAAGCTAGCCATTTCATCACGTGATCCAAGAACTACTAGTTCTATGAAAACACACAGTAATACAACATCGAGTGCGAAGGTGGGCACTTCTACTAGCGCTGCACTGCCAAGAAAGCACACAGAACGCCCAGTTGCTCGAAAAGATGTCACTTCCTTGTCAAAAGTTCCCAACCGGCCTATTGACAAGGCTTTCATTCCTCCTGTTCAGAAGTCTGTTACTTGTGACATTCCTGTTCCAAAATCTGGCAGTTCCATGTCTTCAAAACACAAAACACAAAGCCATAAACGCAGAATGTCCAAAGAGTCACCACTTGTAGGGCCTAAAAAAGTTAAAAGTTCAGACATACAGACTTACTTCAATAATGGAGAAAACTCAGCTCATCCTGCAAATTCTCAGGATCATGTCAGCTCCACGTCCCTCCAAATAAAACTAAAAGGTAGGACGAATCCAAGCACTTCATCTGCGGGTACTTCATCTGCGGGTACTTCATCTGCGGGTAGTTCATCTTATAATGTTGTGGTCACTTTATTCTTACATACCCCGATCGATTTTATAACGTTAACGCGTTGCGGTTCTTAGTATATCATCAATCTTAACGTTGCCCTTCAGACATGCGCGGACACTACCGTCCCTGGTTGAACGTTCGAACGGTTAAACACCTTTCCTACGTACGTATTTAGTTATTTTGTTCCATTTCGTTCCATGTCATTCCATTTTGCACTGTCTGGGGATATTAGACAATATGATGTCTATATACTCAAAAACGGCCACCGAATGACCGTAACGAAGTAGCTCTGTGCTGAAAATAATCGAAAAGATCTTAAAAGGAGGAGACTTGGTTTGGTTTGACTTCTAGTCAAGTGTTTTGCCACTTTATTATCTTTTAAAAATATTTCTGTTTTTTGCTGTGGCAATGGATGTCTGTATGTTGCGTGATGATGTGAGGGAGAAAATCTCAACATTCTCACCAATGCCCTTCCTCCCACTACATACCTACTGTATAAAAACAAGCTGGAAATAACGGCTCTTGTCGCCACAACATGTTTACTCCGTGAGCTCACTGGTGCAAGTTTAGAGCATTTTAGGATGAAGTTTGCACATCAGAGAGAATTCTAGAAGAGAGTTTTCAATTCAGAGTTCTAACACCATACTTTTAGGATGACATGCATAAATTTTTAAGAAGTCTGGTTCATAGTCTTCTTGGTTATATCTCACTCACTCACTCACTCATTCACTCACTCACTTACTCACTCAATCCTCTTCTGGACTTCTTGAGGCGACAGGAGGGATCTCCATCTGGCCCTATCTGCAGCTGCCTCCGGTGCTATGTCCAGGGTCAGCCCCCTCTCTTTTAGGTCTCTCTGTATCGTTCTTCTCCAGGTCTCTTTGGGGCGCCCTCTGTTTCTTTTTCCTGTTGGTTTCCATGTCAGCGCGCCCCTTGTTATTGGGTCTGGGGCCGAGCCAGATCCATCTGCGCTCTGCGATGGTTTTTCCAAGGGCATCATTCCTGTTCTGCTAAGAAGGTCCTCGTTTGAGATTCTGGCATTTGTTCTGGAACACCTCTAGCTCGTGTCTAATGGTGGCTGTGGTTTTCCAACATTCTGCCCCATACAATAAGACACTTTGAACGTTACTCTTGTATATTCTTATCTTGGTGTTGGTATGAATAGAGGTGTTCCTCCGAAGTGGACCAAGCATTGCAAAGGTTCGGTTTGCTTTGCCAATTTCTTGGGTGCAGTCCCCATCAGTCGACATTACTCTGCCTAGGTATGTAAACTCTTTCACATCTTCCAACTGCTTACCATTAAACTAACTGGGTCTTTAGTATTTCCCAGAACTTGTGTTTTCTTCCCGTTTACCCTCAACCCGATGGTACTAGCAGTTTTGTGCAGTTTTCCTGCCTTTTCTTGTACTTCCCGATGACGATGGGCAAGCAGTCCCAGGTCATCAGCGTAGTCTAGGTCCTCCAGAATTTTATGCTCTGTCCAGTTAATGCCTCGTTGCTTTTCTTGAGTGACATTTTTCATCATCCAATCGATGGCCAAAGACAGGGTGAGGCGATAATTGCTTTGACTTTACCTCCCACTCCCCGTCTGCTATTAGTATTAGTTTAGGGTTGATTGACTTTCTCAGGCTCCACACAGTCAAAAGGCTGTTCCAAAACAAGCTAAAAAGCTGTCGTTTGCCGGCATTTGATATACGAGAGTGTTTTTGGTTTCACTGTTAGAGTTTTATTGTTTTGTATCAAGTTGAGTGCTACTTTTCTGTTGTTAATCACGTAACAACCCATTATTTGGCCTGTGTCTACCGGTACTGCTTATAAAAGACGTTCAGACGGAGGTGATTTTGTGCGAGAGTAGATTCTGTGTAAACATTTGTAAGGTCACACGCCCCCTCCCCCTTTCGCGGCATGCCGAAACAAAGGCACCAAAATATTATTACTATTCCCATACATAATCTCTGGAAAGCATTACAGAGCTTTGTTGTTCTATGAAGTGATCTGTAACACAATCATACGCTCCAATTCGTTAAAAATCGTCTCAAAACGCAAGTATTTTCACGATAATGTAAATTATACAAACGCACACAAACCTAATGTCTGTTTCAAGAGTTTGATTTAGAGCAAGGATGTTTAATCAAATAAACCTTCTTGGATATATATTGACCATAAGATGGTAAAATCCTCTTAGACCAATGAGGTTTGATTTTTCACCTCCTTGTTTAGACTAGTAATTTACTGTAGTTTTGAAGGCAGATGTACATCCCCAGACAATATTTCCGTACGTCAGATACTGGTATATTAAACTATTGTATATGGTTTCAGTTACTAGTATGGCTGAACAGTCCTACATGGGAATAATACTAGGTCATGCCCATGAGGTTTTAAAAAGTAATGTTTTTTTAACCTCCTTGCATGCAGAACTATGGGAAAGTCCACATTGTCCACACTCTATGCATAAATTAAAAGTAATTCCCCACGCTCACTTTGAGTTGAGGTGCTAAATACACAATTCCATTGATGGATATTCAGCTGTCAGCTTGATTGGCAGTGATTGATGGGAAATTTGAGGGGAAAGGTACAGAATCTAGATTTTTAACTTTAAAGCCATATTCCAAAGTATTCCTAACGAGTTACGAAGTTGCAAAGATGTGTATACAAGGCTCGATAAGCTTGTCTACATGAATCAGTTCGGACAAAATTGACTTTGCATTTAGGTTTGAAGATATTTGCCATCAAAGTCTGTGCTACCCCAAAAAGAGCAGAAAAATTTATGAAAACTAAATTTTATCTCAAGATCTAAACACTTTCTTGACTTTTTTCAAAACCGATTCCTGTAGTATGCCCTTGTCGCCACATCTCCTAACAATTCCACTGCTCCCAGCTGCCCGCAAGACTTCCGAATTCGCCAATAACTGTTAAATGACATAGCTTAGATATTACTCAATTGTATGATTGTTATATAAGGCTTTTCAATATGTAATGCAACGGTAGAAGGCAAAACATCTTGTTCAAGTGTGTCTCAAATTTCACGTCTTTATTCCTTACCAAAATGAATATATAGCTGATTTACTTATTTAATACCTAAATGTCTTCTTCCACAAAGTCATAGGTGACTTGTATAATTCTATTTCAAATGCTGTTCCTCACCTCACCGCTTTCCAGTTTATTGACAAAACCACCAGCGCATTTGCCTTCGCTCCAGTCACAGAAGAATTTGTCATAAACGAGCTGACTAAACTCAAAGTTAGGAAAGCCACTGGACTCGACAATTTGGACAATAGACTCCTAAAAGTGGGAGCACATCTTCTTGCCCCCCCCCCTTAACCAAGTTATTTTTAAAACAAGTCACTGAGCCTGGGTATATTTCCGACAAGATGGAAACAATCGAAAATAATGCCAATACACAAAAAAGGGGACAAGACCGACCCTAACAACTACAGACCAGTGTCCCTTCTACCTGGCGTATCAAAGATATTAGAGAGAGCAGTTTATATTGAATCATACCTGAACTAGAGTTCCCCGATCTCATACCTTCGCCAAATGATGTTAATCTTTATGGCTGACAAATGATAGATTATCCCCCCTGCTTGTGCAAATAGGATCCTCATTTTCATGAATTATATCAGTTTATCATATTCTCAAGTTCTCAACCAAAAGACAGTCTTAGATTAACAAACAATGCCATACTAGCATTTCCTCATAAATTATGCAAATGCGGTCCTGATTTGAATACATTATGTTTAATGATGTTCACCTTCACTGTACTTTCAAAGACCATAAGTATGAAATTCCAGGCAGTTATCATTACAGAATTATAACATTTTCTCATTAATTATGCAAATTAAGTCTTCATTTACACAATCAATATCTGCCTGTGTTTATCTCGTTCTCAATTACCAATGCCACAAGCTTCAATAGTCCTATGATGGAATGCAGCTGATTTATAGAATTTCTCGATAAATTATGCAAATTACATCAATATTTGCATAATTGTCACATAATTATATTAAGCATCACGTAAGCTACCTGCATACCAAAAATCACGACGATCCGTCAACCGGTTCTTGAGTTATTCTCTTTTGAATATATTCAAACAGATAGCCCTGCAGTTCCAGAGCAAGCCGCTAGGGAGCCCAAACTCACGTCACTTCTTTCCCAGCACAAGAGCTACGTGCCATCCGAATTTCGTCACCCTAGCATGTCTAGATCATGAGATATCAAAACCGGAAGTTCAGCTGCAGTACCGTAACAAGCTGCTAGGGGGCCCAAAATCTAATCATTTTGAGGTCTCATTAAGACCTACCCACCTACCAAGTATCAAGACAATCCATCAAGGCCTTCTCAAGTTAT